CCCCCCCCCCCCGCCAGTCCCAACCCTGTGCAGACTACATGGGCCGCTCCTGGGGCTGGTGTGCAGAGCTGGCCTGGCCCCGGCCTGGTGACAGTCTCCTCCTCAGCCTGGCCAAAGCTTGGATGGGGTTCTGGGTACACACGGCTGGGTGAGTCACATCTGGTGGGGAGGACCTGTCGGGCCCGCTGCAGGGCTGCCGAGGTGGGGATGCTCGGGACTGGCCTGGTGGGGTCCTGCCCACGCTGCCCATCCTGCAGCCAGGAGAGTGCCGTCTGCCCAGAGGCCTGAGGGAGGACCAGGTGAGATGCCCTGTGAGCGGGGGACCACTCCTCCCCATCTGCCCTTCTGCTCCACCTGTGGCAGAGCTTCACTCACCCTGGGGATGCTCTCTGGGCCTGGGCAGGGGATGCTGCTCCTGGGATCCCCTTGCTGGCAGTGGGCCAGAGCTGGTCCTGTGGGATCAGCTGCAAAGAAAGCCAAGCTCAGAAGGCCCCTCCTCACTGCACAGAAGGGGCGTCATAGCCCGGGGTGGACAGGGAGGGCATGAAGCTGCAGCCACAGTCCCCATCACCAAGGGGCAGGGCTTAGGGAGCCTTCCGGGGCTGTCCTTGACTGCAAGCGCTCAGGGAGGCAATGAGAGTGGGAGGCTGCTTTCTGATAAGACTCCGGGCAGCACTTGGACTAAAGGTTTGGAGGGCGATATGGGGGTGAGAGGCAGGAGGTGGGAGTGGGGGGCCGGGGCCGAACTAGAAGACTGGATCCCTAACATCTTTGCACTTTCCTGAACCATGGGAGAGGTTTCACAGAAGAGCGGCCTAAGCCTGTGTAAGGAGGGCTCTCGGCAGGTTCCCAGGGCAGGGTCTGAAGCCCTCTGCTGGACAGAGGCCTCCTCCAAGTCCCCAAGGGCCTGTCCCCTCAGGCCCACCTTGAGGCCCCCTTGCTGGGCCACCTCTCGGATCCGAGACAGCATCGACTGGAGTCGCTCGTTCTCTTCCTGCAGGACCCGGATGCGGATGTTGTTGGCCCGCACTTGCCTCTCCATGTCATCTGTGACATTGCCGGAGCCTGCAGGGACATGCTAAATGAGACCTCACCCTGCAGGGTCTGCCTCCTGTGCCCAATGGCACCGGGCCTCTGAGGGGACGCATGCCAGGTTGGGTGGGTGACCCACACACGGGGAGAACAGTGCCCTGCCTCCCATTTCATCGTCCTCCTGAGGCCTTGTTCCCCTCTCCTTGTCCCTTTGCCTGCTGGGATGGTGACTGCATTATCAAATTTGAGAGCTGGGGGTGAACATGGGGCTCACAGAACACTTAGCAGTTAAGTGCTGGAGGTGGAGTGTCTTTTGAGGCCACCTGTTTTTGGCAGGCCAGAGAGACAGCGAGGTGTGGTCCACACAGCCAGCTTGGGGACGAGTCCCAAGCACCTCAAGGATGACCTTCCTGTCACTCTGGTGACGGGCACCTCCTGACCTGGGTGAGCTGCTGCCCATTCTGATTCTTGGTTTCCTGGCTTGTACAAAGGAGCCACTGCCCACCACGGGGCAGCTGAGGGGGGACAACCTAGTGCTTGGTGCTCAGGAGTGATGGCAGCACCACCGGCTGAAGGGTGGCGGATCTTCCTGACAGCTCTGCGAATGGAGTCCCTCCCTGCCCCGGCCCAGCTGAAGAGGACTTGGAGGGGCTGGGAAGAGAACCCAGGTCACTTGACACCAGCCTTCTAAGGAGACAGGTACAGCACTCCAGTGCCATGAGGTCCAGGACGCTGGACAGCTCTGGCCTCGTGGCATGCTTTGGGGAGATGCCAGGAAAGGGGACACAGGGAAGTCAAGCAAAGACTGGCCTGTGACACAGTGGAGAGCACAGGCTACAGAGGCAGCCCGCTCTGTGACGGCAGGGCAGCCATCCCCTCTGGGCTTCATCTGCAGAGTGGCTGTCACACAAGCCCCGGGTGCGCCCTCCACTGCCCCCCCCAGCCATGGGCCCCTACTCTGGATCTGGGCCTCTGTGGGCCTGTGCAGGTCCGGGAAGGCCACCAGCAGCCGCTCGCGCTCCCGCAGCTCCACCAGCTCCCGTTCCCGCTCCCAGGTGGGCAGCCC